TTCTGTTCCTTGCTTGTGTTTAATGGCAGTGAGAGTGACTCAGACAATAGATGTATGTTCAGTGGTTTTGAACCAAAGTAATATTTCATGCAATCTGTTCACCTTAACAATTCTGGTATCTGGCTTCCCAACAACTGTTGATACTTCAAGTGAACTGAAAAGTTATATCAAGCCTACTAGATATATTAAGGGTTCTGATAAAGAACCATAACTTGATGGGTTACGTAAATTGAAATTACTAATAAAAAACTGTGAATAATAATATGGATAGTTATAATATTTATCACTAGTTACTTGAAGCTGAGAAGTGTAGGATATAAGATTTCCTTCGAGTACGATAACTATCTTTAATATTTTATCGTAAATTTTTATTTTAGTTTATATGGAAATACTTATAACTCTGTCACAGATAAGAAGAATGAAAGAATACAATTTTAATAGGCTACTTGCTACGGATAATTGAGAAGGATGATGTCATTATCTCTGAAGGGGTAATGAAATTTAATTGGCTTCATTAAAAACAATATTTAATCTTATTTAAGAATAGATACAATGTGATTTATACAAACACTGCATTAATTAATTCTCCATTTGATTAATACATTAAATTCAGATTTTAGAGGGAAAAATCGAAGAAAGAAGTTTGTTAGCACATGTAAACATATATATATAAAACTGAAGCTAAAGAAGAACTAGACAACTGGACAAACAGCACTACAAAGGTTCTATACAGCCTTCCTTAGAGATACTAACAAACTCAATGAATTCAAGATAGCTCTCAATAACAGGTTCCAAGCCTTACAGGATCTACTGAAGGAAGAAGAAACCACTATGGAGGACAACTGGAAAGGTATCAAAGCAGCATTAATTTCAACGTGTCAGGAGGTTCTGGCCCTCAAGAAACATCATCATAAGGAATGGATCTCTATAGAAACACTGGACAGGATCAAAGAAAGGAAGAACAAGAAGACAGCAGTTAACAACAGCCGAACACGAGCAGAGAAAGTCCAAGCACAAGCTGAATACATAGAAGCAAACAAGCAAGTGAAGAGGAGCATTAGAGCCGACAAGAAGAAATACGTGGAAGAACTACCAACGACGGCGGAAAAAGCTGCTAGACAAGAGAATATGAAACAGCTTTACGATACAACGAAGAAACTATCAGGGAAATACAGTAAACCAGAGAGACCGGTCAAGGACAAAGAAGGCAAGCCAATCACTGAAATTCAACAACAGCGGAATAGATGGATAGAATACTTCGAGGAACTCCTGAATAGGCCGGCTCCAATGAATCCACCGAACATCGAGGCAGCACACACAGATCTTCCTATAGATGTCAATCCACCAACGACGGAAGAAATCAGAATGACCATCAGACAAATCAAGCAGGACCCGACAACATACTAACTGAAGCACTGAACTCAGACATTGAAGTAACTACAAATATGCTTTACCTTCTATTCAAAAAGATTTGGGAGGAGGAACAAGTGACGATGGACTGGAAAGAAGGGCACCTCATCAAGATTCCAAAGAAAGGAGATCTGAGTAAATGTGAAAACTACAGAGGCATTACACTACTGTCAATACCAGGAAAAGTCTTTAACAGAGTGTTGCTGAACCGGATGAAGGATGCAGTAGACACCCGACTTCCAGATCAACTGGCTGGATTCCGTAAGGATCGATCGTGCACAGACCAAATTGCGACATTACGGATCATCGTCGAACAATCATTTGAGTGGAACTCGTCACTGTACATCAACTTCATTGATTATGAAAATGCATTTGACAGTAAGGATAAGAGGACGTTATGGAAACTTCTTTGACACTACGGAGTTCCTGAGTAGATTGTCAACATTATCCGGAACTCATACGACGGACTACAATCCAAAGTAGTGCATGGAGGACAGCTGACAGATGCATTCCAAGTAAGGACCGGAGTCAGACAAGGCTGTTTACTCTCTCCCTTCCTCTTTCTTCTGGTAGTCGACTGGATTATGAAGACCTAGATATCTGAGGGAAAACACGGAATACAATGGACAGCTCAAAACCAATTAGACGATCTGGACTTCGCAGATGTCCTAGCCCTCCTATCGCATACACACGAACAGATGCAGATGAAGACAGCCAATGTAGCAGCAGCCTCTGCATCAGTAGCCCTCAGTATACACAAAAGGAAAACCAAGGTCCTCAAATTCAAAGCGTAGAACAGCGATCCAATCACTCTTGATGGCGAAACTCTGGAAGATGTAGAATCCTTCACATACCTGGGAAGCATCATCGATGAGCAAGGAGGTTCAGATGCAGACGTAAAGGCGAGGATTAGCAAAGCAAGGGCCGCATTTCTTCAATTGAAGAACATATAGAACTCAAAACAACTTATATTTTTAAATATTGTCATGCAGTATACTGTGAACGATGAAAATGGCAATAATCACTTTATTTTATATCCATTGTTTTCATTCATTAGTAATTTTGATCACAGTATGGGGTATGAAGTATATTTTATTTTACACAACAGGTTAATTCTCTTCTTAACTGGATCATAACAAACGATGAAAGTGGATTCCCTACAACAATCGGAAACAATAAGCCCAACGACTAAATCATGGTAAACAAAATAATCACTTAATCCAAAGATTATGGTCAATATCTGATGAGTAATAAGTCGCATCGTGGCCTAAAACTATCCAAATCCTGACAACATGTCAGAAAATAAACATTGACAAGAAATGGAGAAGGTGAATAGGAAGTTTCGTGATTTACGGTCAGCACTTGTCATTCAAGGAAGACCAATTTTCCTGCTGATTATGATAGTAGGATCATGCAAAGGCGAAAGTGAAGTAATTTCATCATAACACTAACACTTACTTGAATGTATGTAAGCCATCTAATAAGTTTAAAATAAAATTAGATTGGTGCTTCGAGCTCCACTAAAAATGTTCCCATCGTGATACAGTCACAGGCTCTCTCGCTCTATATATACTCTTATTAAAAGACCGTACACCAGCATGAATTTAATAATTTAGTCATGGAAATTAACAGTAAGAGGTCTTAAATCCTAATAACTTTGTGCAGCCTTTGAACGAAAGGTGAATAATTCAACACAACAGATTGATCGCGTAATGGAATGATTGTTTAAAGTGACAGATGCTAGCATTTAATTTTGTTGGATGTTAAAAGTCACACCGCGATATAAAGATTCAATTCACAAGTATCTATTTTATTTATTTATTTGAATACCTAAATATTGGTATGAAGGAGCACCGAATACATATACGCCACACAAGTCACTTGATTTGTGTGTGGGCTATGATACCACCCGGGTGCCCAAACCGAAACAAGTGGTTTACTTAGGGGGCCACACCCAGAGCCTTCGACCTAAAGGTCTGGTCCACAAGGCAGTGGAGCAACGTTAGGAGATGCACTCCCATGGTAGCCGGTAAGCAACGACTTGTTCATACGCCATTTGTTCCCTCAGGATATTGGAGCCCATGTGTATCATTCGTTTAGAATCAGGGTTTTACAACTCCTCTAAGTGGATGCTCCGTACCCACCAACTCGGTTAAAGCGCCGGACATTCGCTTTCCGTCCTCTCAATTTCTTAAATAACACCCCCACCTAGAGAAGGCAGTGGGTAGGACTTCCGTGGCAGTGGCTGTATACGTGTGGCCACATGAGAGCGTTTTGAAAGGGTGAGCTGACTCTCCCCACCTTCGGCCGTACCGGGGCATTTGAAGGCAATTCTCAAGTAGTCAACATTTCATATATTGCTTCCTTACAATCTTAAGAAGTCATTTTGAAGATCATATTTCATACGTCTAGTTTCTAAAGAGATGGTTTACCCAAGTGATTAATTATCAAGAGTGCTGTTCAGAACTTTGATAGTGTTTGGCAAGATTGGGACCAACTAAATGAATAAATCGAAAGTTCTGCATAAACCACAAATCTCAATAAAAAATGTCTATTCACTAAAGTCTAGACTAGAGAGGAATTCCGGGAGTTCTTTTGAGAATCTGTGACCACTGAGATCCACCCATGTTCGGAGTGAGATAGGTTTCAATGTAATAGATGATGGTGGCTCTTTATCAATTAATTGAGGTTTGAAATATCCACTAATGGATTCATACCAAGTGGTCAATAAGAATCCTAATAAAGAATTAAGGTCCTAGGTTAGTTCTCGTTTAGAGCAGTAGGTGAGCATTGTTGTTCAGTACTACCTGATTTTCAATAGTCCACAATAAAAATTACTAATTCAAACTTTAAAAAAATAACTATCTACTATTCACATGATCTGAAATTCTTGTTTTCTATATTACTCCATCAAGAAACGGAACAGCTATCCATAACCGTGTCCTTATCGACTGTTTTTCATTTGTAGATCATATCTTATAATATATATTAATCATATTAATCTTTATTGCAACTTAAGCTAATTGTAATTACTCAGTACAGTTTACTAGTTATCTCATAATTAACTTTATTGTATTTGAATCATCTTCACCACAGTTTTGTCAAATCAATAAATATGTTATGATTTAATATGTCTAACACACTCATAACCAGTTTTTAAATCATGAAAACGGATTTTAGCAATAATTACTTTAAAAATGGAAACTTTAATTAGTGATATGAAAAGTATCATTTAGTTGGCTAATTAATTGATCGATTTTAATTCCAACCAGAATTGGAGAACAAATTTGAAAAACGTATTTCCAATCAATTCTAGTGACATTCTTTGTATCTCTGTTCACTGATTCACAATACATTATAAACTTATGTACATACACCCACATAGGTGTATCTATACACATAACATCTGTACACAAATTCCACTTTTAAGTGTGCATAAATATGTCTATCACTATATCTCTATCAACCCTCATTTTACCCACAAGCCCAGAGATCACCCGCATATGTAGTTAAATATGTGCGTTTGTGTATATGTGCACTAATCAATTTGAAATAGTCAAGTTGAAAAGGAAATGATACTAGTCTGTGCTTGTATCTCCTGTGGATTTAGTTGCTGTGGTCCATTATTTTTCACAGACATGACCTCGGCCACATGATAATCAGGTTATTGGCTTCATACTCATTGATTACCACCCCCCCTCTGCTCTAGAAACTTATTTAGAACTCTGGACGTGGGTGAACGCAGATGAAACATGCATAAACTTTCAAGCTGTCTCCCATTGAATTCACATTCCATTTTTTGAGCTGTCTAAAGTCTGGGTTTAGCTCTGCCTTGGTCCTATCGATCCATGTATTATAACTCACATGAATGGGTTGCTGTGTGTTCTTTAGAAATGATAATAAGGGTGGTAGCATCCCGATTCAGGAGAATGGCAGAACGGGAGTAAGGGTGATGGTGAGTTTGAGTGGGTGAGTACTTTGTAAGGGTGTAGAAAATTTTTGGGTGTGTGTGAGCGTATGGTCACCAGTGCTATGAAGGCAGGAGCACAATAAAGGCACAATTCCATAAGGCCAACAACTAAATTGTAAATAACAGTGATTGCACACCTACACACAAACTGAGAATAATGGATACAGTGACTGATTTTTTCACTCTCAAAGCTTGCTCCTCTAACCCGTGCACTGGCTCACAAATATACAGTACCCATTAACGAATGGGTTGTGCTGCCTAAATCAGGTTGAAGCTAGCTGTAACATAGACTAACAGACAGACAGCACACCCATCTGTCGATAGAGTAAAGTGGATTATTTGGCACTTCCGTCTATCATAAATCAGGGGACTGACAATTTAAATCATATTTATAGAGACAGATTGGGACGTCTTACGTTTATCACGTTACAAACTGTGCAAGAAAACAAAGACAAACATTTTGTGTATAGTTCAAATATTGGAATTCATTTTAAAATCGATAAAACCAAGTGTTTGAAAATTTCCTATCGTATTAACAAAGTGAGTTCTTTATTGTGTAATATTCAGAATTATGATAATCAAACATTTGAATGTACGAGTTCAGATTTTTATCATAAACTGATAATATTCAAATATTTCACAGGTTGAAATCATGAGTCAATTGAAGCTAGACCACCATGGAAAACTTGGAAGCACTAGACGGCCGTTTCGTCCTAGTGTGGGACTCCTCCATAGTGATCTCGCTTCAATTGACTCATGATTTCAACCTGTGAATTTTCTAAAAAATCTGCACAAAACCCATTCTGATAATATTCAAATATGTATTATAAATTAGTGAGTGGTACAAACTTATTAAATTCCTCAAGAGGATTTTTCAGATATACACATCTTAAATTCAAACCTAAATATATGAGTCTTCAAAAGCGATAATTTATTCTTTAAACCATCAAATTAAATTCTGCAATGATATTTCCATCCTAATTCTCTATAGAACTGTAATATTGAGATCCTATGGGAAACTTAAGCATGATATAATGGTTAAAGATAGTTAGTAAATATAGATTTTAATAAATGTGCTTCTCTTCGTTAGAAAATTGATTTATTTTTATAGACATGATGATGAAAGTTGAATGGAAACGGAAATTAAGGTTTGACTCACACCGTCTAACTTCATCACGTATCTAGAGTAGAGTCTAGTGTTCGCAATCAATAATTTGAGAAAATTGAAATACAGGAAGTATCCATTGAATTAACAGTTTGATTCCCTGAAGTAGTCTTATCTAATTAAGCATTTAATGTATAGATAAACAATTACTAATATATATATATATATATATATATATATATATATATATATATGACTGGTCAAATATTGATATCTGCCCACTTCCCTACTCTTCCTAAAAGTTTTGTTTCGAATAATTACATATTACAACATAAACTTTCCCCTATAGTTTAGATTTTCGTTCCACCAAAGTGAATAATTGATGTCTTTCATGATTTTCTTTGACATTTAATAACTTATACAAAAAAAATAATGAAATGAATAAGTTAGGATAGAAAAGTGATTCATGAAAATTGTAATGTTTGTAACTGGTAGTCAAAAAATATTATTACTATTGATCAATCTGAAGGTATTTTTGGTCGAAACTGAAGAACTACTTCTGTTTATGTGAAAGATATTACAAAACAGCAGAGAGTTAACACGTCCTAGTTTAAAATTTTTTTATTTGAGAATATTGTTAATTCAGTTACGATGCAATCAGATCTTGCGTTCAATATGCCACAATTTGGCAACAAATGCTTCATACCTTACATACTTAACTAACTGATGATATAGTCGATTATCACAGATGCTCATTCGGATTGTCACATACAAAAAGTTAAATATAACTATTGATTAGTTGATAGTTATGTCATAATTTATGACAAAAAGAATATTTCTATTCTTAAAGACTATTGAATTCATTGGAAATGAATACCAAATAAGTGACGAACGTATAAACTAACATTAAATCAAATTCTCATAGTCAGTAATGACGTAAATTGAGTTAACAACCTACAACATGGAGTTAGTTATATAGATGAGTTGTTCATTTGTTTTTAGATGATTGGATATATATCTGTATATATATTAATGAAAAATTACTAATATTTAACTATTTTTTACTTTAATTAGATCGAGTTGTTTACATAAACTAATAATCAAATAAAATTTCTTACGTTAGGTTCATACTTTTAACATTCGAATTAAACTGTTGTCCTTTAAGTGGGTGGCGTTTATCAGTGATTGAAATCAACTTGGATATAATCGAAGACCACGGAGCACTAGTATACAGTTCCTCAGGAATACTACTTGAAACCAAACCCTTTTTTCGAAGCAAGAGCGTTATCCTTACTCCACTAAGTTAACACCCTTATTTTAAACTTTTAACCTAACTTAAAAATTTCACATAACCCCACGATTAATCATTTAAACCGGGTTACTATCTCTTAACTTTTTGAAATGTTAGTCAGTAGGCGAAAATGTTTTATAACTGTTGAGTTAGGCCGCATTGGCTTTGAATTTTTACCACTAATGTGTAAGATTTAAATTGTCCATTCGGACATAGTGTCACACTATATAGCTTGTAGGTAGTGTCATTTTAAAAATTATACGGTCATACTTGCTGAACATTTAAATGAGTCTATTTTTAATTCAGCATTATCTTGTAATGCTTAATAATAGGATTTTATTAAAAGTTTGGTACGTTGATCTAGACTTGAATTCATGACTTGTTAATTAGAAGTTAAAAATCTTTAGCGTGTAATCTACCTCTACATAATTGTCTACGTAACATTAGTAAACAAGTATATTTTCCTTTGCTATATAATGACATAATATCCGAAGTGAACAACGTGAAGTTACACCAACTAGAAATATTTTCACGGGTTTATAAAATTACTATTTTTCTCACTTATCTCTATTAGTTTAAGTGTACAATATGTTTGCTATGTAGACTGAAATCTAAGATTCAATTTTAAGTGAACTAATGTTCAGATAATATTAAACTTTCAGATCAGAATGACAAATCAGTTTTACTTTTTGTTTGTAGTTTACTGGACAACGGAGTTGGACACCCAGTTTATGGCTGTAATTAATTCCATATCAATTTTTAGAATATCATACAAAAGTTTTGTAGCACAAGTTTGTTAACACTGAAACTGTGGTAAACAAATGTTTATGATCATCTACTTACAACACATCCATGACATTATGGTTACGTTATTATTAACATAGATAACTGGTGATTACTAAGTTATGATTACTGACTATGAATAGAAAAATTTACATATATTTAGTTTTTTTAATGTAATGTCTTTCCAATAATGTGGTGTAATCAGTAATCTAACTAGACATATTTTTTAATCAGTGCTTTATGTTACTGAGAACTAGTTACCTATTTTAAACACTCTTACTTATGATGCTGAAATTTAAAACATAAGTTTAACTGATATTGGGAGTTGAAGAAAACTATAGTATTTTTGTTTATAATTATCTGTAATGCTTTGTCTGACTGCTCAATAAATCAAAATTCACATTTCAATAGATGTCTAGTCACCTCTCAATAATATTGATTAAAATTGTGAACTCGTAATCAGATGAACATGACTTCTATCTTGTTATGACTGAAAAATATGTGTACTGTTTTATTTAGATGCATATTTCGGTGAATTATCAACGTTTAAATGTTCTCACATTTTATAAAATGAAATACAAACTATATGCATATCTATCACATTACTATTGGTTAAATCTTGTAAGGATATCGAAATAGCGGGAGAATGTTGAACTAGAAATCGTTAGATGGTTGAAAGTAACACAATTAACGGATGCCAAATGATATAGGTATTTCAAATAAAAGTTTCAAGTCACACTAATGTGAAGGCTTCTTCTCAATATAATAAACATGAATGAAAAATACCAAGCATTATCAATGAAGAATATTTCAGATAAATGATTGATTACCATTACTGACCACTCTAACTTCTTAATATTTTCGTGGAAAGTGAATTTTACAGGAAGAGAGTATCTCATCCAAGCAAATAGAAGAAATCAATCTGTAATATCTTTCATCTTGTAATTGAGAGATAAAATGAAGAGAAAATTTATTAATGCATATATAATGTGTTAGACTATGATCATCAAATAGATGAAATAACTGAAGGCCCTATGAACTTATGGGCTAAAGGGCAACACCTATGAAGTAGTTAATCGATTATCAGTCTGATAGTTCTTTAACTCCGATTTAAAATGTTTGGGTTTTCTCTCGAATCATTCACTATTGCGTTCATTGGTCATATAAGTAAAACGATCACAAATAGATGCTTTACGTTATACTACCTTTTAAATAAAGATTCCTCATTGCAAGCCAATCCGAACTGAGCTGTTTAGGAAAGATGATTGACTAAGTGGTTGGAATATAGAATACCTTGACATGATCATAGTCTGATGATAAACATAAATGTACATAAATGGATGAGAGTAGAGTATGATGGAAACCACAAGTCACAACTGGATTCAAATCAATCGTATCTAAATTACATATTCTATCCTATTTCTTATATTTTTTACAAATTAACTGATTCGTATATAGTATATAGTAACGTCACACTTCGAACGAAACAATTAAAGCTGAGGACTGGAAAGTGTAAAATAATTCCAAGACACAAATTTTAAAGGGAGATGAAAAGTAAATGAACCTACAGTACTGCAGCAAATCATCAACCACGCCATTTCAGATATTTAGTGCTAGACAACGATCATCACGTGGACTGAAACCGGAAATTTAACACACTCAGTCACGGTTAAAACCAGCATTCAATGACTTCATGTCTTGATGATCTGGTTGCCTTCATCTTACTTCTAACCTAGTGCTGTACTAGCATAACGAAATAGTTCGAAATTACTTTTGGATCTGATGTATGTTTCATTCATAGTTAAATAACATAAACAATAAAATTAATCAAGTTAAACTGGCCAAGAATTATTCATTAAAGAATTTAAGGAACAAATTAAAGGTTTTTTTCTTCTTATCATTATATTGTTTGTTTCTTAAAAGAAAAATAAGTATTACCAAGACTGTTCTTCACATATTAACATTATATATTTCGTAGGTGATTTAGAGTTTGAATAACTGTAACTTATGTTCTTGATCGTAACAAATCTAATACTGAGAACTTCTAGCTCTAGAGCATAGAATAATGACCACAAGTTGAACGTATTATCTGTCTACTTTTGTACCGTTGCCTATTTTCATGGCACCATAATTAATTTGATAAAATACTGGTAGATTAAAGTGTTCGAACAGATGATTTACTTACAAAAATGGATTAATGAAGGAGTCAATGATATAGTTTTTTCCATATATAAAATATTCAACCAAAGTCATGCGACTTGTTACATTACAACTATTAAACAAGGATCAACATTTCGTTTTGGTTGAACTATTTGTCAATAACTTGTGAAGAATTTTTATTATCCTATCACTTTTTAATCT